GCAAATGCTACCTAGGTATGTTAATTCCTAGCCAATTCGCCAGGCCAACATACAGGCAATTAAAACATCTAATATTACTAAATAAGTAATATTAGGAGGACACGTCGCTACCTGGCATTTAATTGCTATTTTGAAAGTCCCTCCCTCAATCAGCCTCCGTGCGTGCTGCGAAGCTCATCTCTTGCCTGACGATTCAGCGATAAAACATACAAAGGGAAGTTCCGCGAATTTGTGTTCTAATTGCTGAAATACTCACCTCCAATTGAGTGCTGAGCCACAAGGACTAGAAAGTTCAGCTCAGGCAATACATTCAAGGAATCGTCTGTCAGTAGAGAATTTGAATTCAGAAGTAGTAGTTTCACCCAAGACTCAAGGGGGCCATACTACATGTAATTATAAAAAATGTAGAGACTTGGATTACTAAGATAGATCCTCATGTGGCTTGCATACTTCATGGCAGCTGTGTCTCAAATAACTTATTTTCACCAATGGATTGTGCAGTTTGTTATGATCAAATTTTCATTTCATCAAGCTACAGGTGATAAGAAAAGATTTATTGCAATTGCAAATTAAAAATAGGTGGAATAAGTCCTTGAAGAGTAAATTTTTGAATGTACAACAATGGAAAGATCCCAAGTTGGCAGAAAGTTTAGGATTCTTGGTGTTAGGTAAAAGACTTAATCCCCACTTAGACAAGACTGCTCCTCCTAAGAAAAATAAGTTATTGGACCCTCCAGACAATGGGGCAGTAGGAAGTCCACAGAAACCTCTATCTACTCAATCTGATTTCAGTGGAATCCAGGATCAGGACGATGAGCCTGGTTCTAATCATAGTATTCAGTCTCTTGAGGGAAGAACCTGTTGAGACTGATTTCATCCTATCCACATCTTGGCAACCACTTCCACCTGGGACAAAAGTGTTGGTTACTGCGAGTGGAAACAGGCTGCTGTCGACTGAAACTCAGTTGCTGGATAATATTGAGTGTAAGGTTGATTCTAACAGGCCATGGATAACATTGGTAAGAGCTAAGTCTTCTTTGTTCACTAATCCATCTGAATCTGTGGATTCCTTATTCAAGATATTTTATGAAAATGTCTCTAAGCTTCCTGATATCTCAGCAACTACAAAGAGAGAGGAAGGACATGCAACTTTGGGTCATCATTCTTTGTTTTTGGAGGGTGATACTACACTTTCTTGGCCTGATATTTGCCCAAAGATGATCTCTGAAATAGACGAAGTCTGGGCTAATTTATTGAAAGACTTAACATTCATTCCCGCTGACAGGAATGCTCACAAGTTTAGTTTTTGAAGTTCCAATTTAATGACGAAAAGAGTTCCTTATATGATCTTTCCCAATATTTGTCGGCTTCAAAATGTGTTGATATAAGTTATGAAAAAAATTTGAAACCAGTTGCCCCTGCACTGCTGCTTGAAGAATTTAAAGTTTGGAAATTGGCAGCAGATGTTTGGTCTGCAATTATGATGTGTCAGTTATTAACTAAGTTTGTGCTGGACTATGAAGAAAATTCAGAAGTGGAGAAATGTTTTGCTGCTGCTCTGCAAGGAATCCCATATTCCCTGTACAATTCATTCTTAGATCATTTGTTGAAAGCCCTAAGACTGAAAGTCCAGCTAAGGAAACAAGCAACAAATAATGCTTCAAGTGGTAGCGCTTATTTGTTGATACGTTCGTCTCCTCTTTTCTCCTGCTTTGTTTGGTGATCAATCATTGATTAATTATAGATCATCTTTGGAGAATACTATTAATATTAATGTTTCCAGGAGTCCTCAGACCTTTCGGAAACCTAGGAGAGGAAGGTTTTATAGGGGAACAGGACCAGCTGCCCGGGTCAGTTATCAACCAAGGGGAAATTTTAGAGGAGGAAATAATCAAAAAAGTAATAGAGGTGGCCGTTTGTTCAGAAACGGAAGGAGACCTTATTCCACCACCTCAGCAACTTCCCCCTTACAATGAAGCCAGACAGCTGGGTCGTCTAGGGGGTTGGGAGAACAGATGGACTTCTTCCATATGGGCTTACAAGACAATCAAAGGGGGTCTCACTTGGACTTGGTTGAGGTGCCCTCCCCTAGCATTCCCAAAGAAGGGTCAAAAACCATCCCCATTACTTACAAAATTTGTAAGTCAACTACTAAACAGAGGTGTCATAGAACCGTTGCAGTCAGAGAAAAGTTTCATGTCTCGCCTATTTCCAGTCCTCAAGAAAGGTAGCGACAAATTCCTAATAAATGACAATATGAGGTTGGACTTGGGCATCAGAAATCCTCGACAGTGAAACACCGTGCCAGCAGACTTGTCTTGGTTTGTTGGCATTAGGCACTGAACTTATGGAAAAGACTTGTTTTCACGGACGTAAATTCTTCACTTTAGTATACGAAAGTCGGTTAATCGACGGTCTGTTAATCGAATTTTTACTATATATATATGTATATTTATATATATGTATACCGTATATAAATTTTTTCTTTGTCCCAATTATACACATGCAAGTATGAATACCATCCCCTCTCCCTCTTCTCATGTTCGTTCACAAAACTTTTCGGGCTTCCGCCCTCGGTTTTCTAATTGCTCGCAGCATGCAGGCTAGAGTTAAATTTTTCTCTTCATAACTCTATTTTATTCATGTCCTCAGTAGCGGGTTCAGCCTTTCCAGGTGAACTTTAGTGAGGCTGCTAGTCTTAGTGATCCTTCCGGACGCTGACCTTCCGGTCTTACTAGCAATCTAGAGTTACGTTGGAATGAACCTTGTATCCTTAGTATGGGTTATATGAGAACCATTCGTGGTGGAATTCTCAGCCCAATACATCTCGCTGGAGTAATGGTGAACGATATCATCCAATGGAGCGCTATGTAGCAGCTCAGCACTGTCAACCCTCCCGGGTGACTTGATGCTCACTCAGGCATTATCGCTCAAGCTAATTAATTGAAGCGATGATGTCTGTGCACCCTGATTGGCAACAAATACAGAACTTGATGATCCCTCAAAATATAAGTGCTCTAAAATTAAGTTAGCTCTTCAAGAAATAAGTTCATCAAGCTGAGGGATAATTGAGATAAGAAAAGGGAGAGGTGTATGATATAGTGAGTTAGTTGTTTATGATTGTCACATTGGTGACTTGTATAACAATAAGAGATATTAAATGAAATAACTTACTAAAATATCACACTTACGAGTCATGTTGATTATGTTTGGGAGAAAATGTTTTCTCCCTTGTATTATTAGTATGATACAATGTGACTCATGGCGTTCCTCCTAGTTTAGATCAGTGATGTGCAACTGGAGGATGAAGGACAGTTGTCTGAACTTCTAGATGATGGAGGAGACCATGGAACTGTCCCTGGGGAACTAGTGTTGAGTGAGGAGCTACAAGGATTGGAGAGGTCAGCTCATACATTACATACAAGGAATTGTCTGTCAGTAGTAGTAGTTTCACCCAGGACCCAAAGAGGACCATACTACATATAATTATCAAGGATGTAGAGCAACTTGGATTACCAAGTTAGATCCTCATCTGGCTTTTTTTTTATGTTATATGTCATTATTAATTTCATTACTTGTGAAAATAAAGGATAAGGTGTGTGTGTGCATGCGTGCGTGTGCACTACAGATGGCCCAGCGCCACAAGGTGACTTCCTAACATTATAAAGAATAGCAATACGCACCTACACTTCATTGGCAGCTACTTGTCAGTATCTTTCGTAGCACCATACCACTAGAATCACCATATTAAAATGATAAGTGTAAAGAGGTCATTTTGGTTTACCCGGTGCAAGGCTAGGTCTAAACATGACTTACGACAGCATATGGTTTTATTATACGCTATTAATGCTTTCATGAAATGTAATGTGCATATAAGAGCAGTTGAATCACCTAAAATTGTGTATCGGCTTAAAGTTATATGTCGGATTTGGAAAATAATTATAACCAAGAAATTGGTCGACATTAGTCATTGACTGGCACCTGTTTTCCCATACTGTCCTTACCCAAAGAAGGGTAGCAGTAGTGCGGGGAGGTAAAGGCTACGTGTGTCTCTGACTTTGGAGCCTTAGATTAGAGATAACCAATTACCCTCCAATAAATCAAACAACGTAATGCTACTGTAAATACATATTCCTATACCATAATCACCTCTTCCACTTCCATCACTCTCCTGTGTGCAAAATAATATGTGATTATACTATGCTACAAGGAACTCAAGTACTTCTCCATCTTTCCCACTCCCCCTCACACACACACACACACACACACACACACACACACACACACTGTTACCTGATTGTCAGCTGATTCTACCTCTCTGGTCGTCTGGCTGGGTGTTCAACGTGAAAGAGTCCACAACTGTACGTACAGTAATAATTAAGTAAATAACACAGTAATGAATAAATGTAACATTTACATTGTGAGGTGAGCTGATATTATGTAGGTGATAATCCAAAAGTGTAATGGTCACACTGGTAAATGAAGTAAAAACCCACAGTGTTGAAATAATAGACGCAATCTTGGAGCTAGTATACTAGGACCCTCTTGAGCCAACTAACAGAACAAATTAAGGGTGAAAGACATAGAACAAAGGAATCAGGTCATATGACCCGTCTCCTGAGATGAGGAAAGGTGGGGATTAGGGATAATCTTCTGGATGACAGTGTTCAGGATCATGTCTGGGTTTCACCGACATAAAATATGTGTTATTGTATTTTATGATATGCAATTCATCAATTTTATTGTTTAACATAGCAGTAAATATGGCAGCTCACTCCTGTTGCATGCAATATTCAAGCTTGCAATTCTAGCTGATTGTGGAGGAATAACTGGAGGGTTCTACTTTATATAAGGGAACCCTTAAAATATATAATGTGTTGAAAATATAATAATTTTCTTTAATTAAAACAAACTTTTAAGGTAAATCATTCCATTTAATTGCTTATGAGAATTATTATTAGAGGTTTGATTGTGAAACTAAAGTATTAAGTTGATTTCAGATTTTACAAACATTATGTTGTCGCAAGTAGTGGTAGTGGAGGACCAGACAGTTTTTTTGCCCTGTGCTCAAACCTCCCTAGTTGACCTTCAGGTATGACAATATTGTCTTGAGTGAGTTATCTTTTTGAATCAGTTGTTTTAGTAAGTAGTTCTGTCATGGAAGGTAGAAATAGCATCGTTACTTATTTTTTATGATATACTCGTACTGTACAGTATGTGAAATTTCAACAGTGAACTAGTTAAAATGGGGTTTCTCAGTTACTGCTATAGAGGATACGGTAGTCATTGTATATATATATATATATATATATATATATATATATATATATATATATATATATATATATATATATATATATATATATATATATATATATATATATATATATATATATATATATATATATATATATATATATATATATATATATATATATATATATATATATATATATATATATATATATATAACACACACAGTATTACCCCGCTTTACACGGTTTCACTTTCCGCAATTTCTCATTTACACGGTACCTTGCCAGAACCGGACTTTCACTTTCCGCGGTGCATCTACTCATATACGTGGTGAAGTATAATTTTTTATTTTTATTTTTATTTAGCTCATAAAATTCATACAAATTACCCGGCCAGAATATACTTTACATTGCTGGAATTCTTACAATATGATGATCATTTTGAATATAAACATCATGGATTTTGCATTAGACATACAAATTTTAGATCTAATGTAATAATTTGGTTTACACAAAGCAAATATTTTATCGTTTGTGCAGAATATATGAAGTTTACATTCAAAATATTCCCTGACCTGCAAGGAATCCAGAAATGTCAATTATATTATCCTAACTTTAGTCTGAGTTATTATTTATTACTAAAAATGTAAATATACTATTTTTTCCCAAACGCTTCTCTGGTAGGGAGGGAAGGTGGGGGTGGGGAGGGAGGGAGGGAGGGACCGACCCAGCTAGGGCGGAGTATTTTGATTGACAGATAGTGTCCTTGAAGAATATTTCTTTGTTTATTTACTGAAGATTATACTTCACCGCGTATATGAGTAGATGCACCGCAGAAAGTGAAAGTTCGGTTCTGGCAAGGTACCGCGTAAATGAACAAATCGCGGAAAGTGAAGCCGTGTAAAGCGGGGTAATACTGTGTGTGTGTGTGTGTGTGTGTGTGTGCCAACTGAATTATCCAGACACATGCTTTTTTCACCAGCCTACTTGTCCATCTCACTTATTTTTTATTTTTTATCTTGCTTTTCTTCTTTCCCCTGCTCCTCCTTATGTATCCTTCTTTTTCCAATGTTTCAACATGCTACCACATCAAAACACCTTTAACCTTATGAAAATTTTCATGTCAATCCCTGTTATGTGGACCCCATCAGTTAATATGTCATAAACTACCTCTCATACATGTACAGATGGATTTCCTTCAAACTCAGTCTTACGGTACATGAAACGTTCTTTTCCATATGTGCACGTCATTTTGTTTTGTAAATTGATGTAGTGCACCCTGTTTTGGTGGTGGTAGTGTCATTGTTGATGACTTGTTCAGTTTTAACATACCAGTAATTTCAATTAGACCCAGCCATTTTCATGGAGTGGGAGATATTACATTGTAGGTGAAATCTAAGTAGAAGAGCAGTAAGGTTAGTTACTGTATACTTGAAATTATCACTAAACATTCTTATGGCAAACACTTAACACTAATATTTAAATTTGTACCTCACTTTTCTCTGTTAGTCATTGCACATTTAAACTGGATTAATTAATACCATCAGACCCAGCAATACAGGTTTCCTCTTACTGGATAAAGTAACATCATTTAGTTCCTTTAACTTATTATGATTTTTGTCAAGATCTTAAGGTACAACTATTTGGTATCCCTCTGAAATATTTGTAGTTTGAGATATGTTTAAATTTGGCTAAAATTGATACAGAAGATTGACTAACACCATAGAAGAATATTTTCATGTATTTTTTGACATTTGTAAGGTGTTCTTGTTGCTGGTGCATGGTGGCCAAGAGCATTACACACTTTCCATTTACTGCCATTTTCTCTCACTGCAGTAACAGATGTGTTACTGCAAGGTCGCACATACATAGAGTAGCTATTCCCATAAATAACTAAACACCGTGTTCTCCAATCATGCGCTTACACAGCTGCTTCCTTGATATCCATCCCCCTCTCATCCAATACTTCCATCACATCTCCCGTTCACCTTCTCTGATTTTTCCTTTTTCTCTCCTAATATCAACATTTGAATCATGTACTTTCCTCATTCTACCAATCTTGTTTTCCATCTTTTCAGAATATGTATCCATTCCATCTTAGCAAATTCAGGCTAGCTCACTATTTTACACCCTTTTTCACTTCCATAATACCTGTACCTCTTTGTATATCTGTATGTTCCCTATTCTTTGCCTTTAGTTCACACATTGCTCTCAAGCACTTTATTTCCACTTCTTCCAACTTGCATCTCTCTCTTGCACCGAGTTCATGCCTCACACCTGTACAGGATTGTCAGCTCAGCTATTCTTTTGTAGTTTTGATGATAAAGAGAATATTACAAATAAAAAATATCATCTTGGGAATTAATTGACTATTTTCTCAGATGGATTGGTATGATGCAGATCTCGCTCTCAAAATAACCTCTGGAAATGAAACATTAACTCAGGATTCCAACTACCATCCATATATGAAAGATGGACTTCTAGGTCTGATGATAACCAAGAGCTTCCTTGACACCACTTATGGCTGCTCAGTGGATGGAGTAAAGTTGGGAAATACAACTTTAGTTATCCTTCCACGATACTTGCTTGGAGAGGATTCTCTAGGTTAGTCAAAGACTGCAACAAATTCTTTAAGTTGTCAATTAAATCATGCTGTTGCATTAGTACACTCTTCTTAGAGTGTACTAACCTGTACATGATATTTTTCCCCATAACATAAAGGATATGGAGATGAATTAGTTATTCTTTTAGCTTGCCTGTGTGTCTGTTATCATATTGTGTTTGTCTGCTGGTTCTGAAATGAATGAATTTGTGTATATCTGTCAGTATTAGTGTTGAGTTTGTGTCAATGAAAAGGCTCATATACAGGTGCTCTTCTACATAGGAACATTCAACTGAAATTTCAAAGATACGAACATTCCTGTCTCTGTATCCAATTAACTATACAGTACTGTATTGCCTTCAAATTAATATTTTATATAGTACATTGAAATACTGTTAAAGGCTGGCTAGATATATCATTTCTGTAGAGTAATGTGCTATATTTATTATTGGTGTATAGCTGTATGGTACATCCTTTATTTTTTCATTTTTTATAATATACTCGGTATTTGCAAGAGTAAAGTTGGACTTGTGAACAACTGAACTTACTCATATTACTTCTTTTGTGTCTGTGTGTGTTTGTTTGTGCACATGTATACATACAAGTGTGTGTGCTTGTAATTGATGTGTAAAAAACCTATGTAGGGTTTAAAAGATTGGACTTAAACAAAAGAAAATCACCAAAAGTTTCTGAGAATTTTTGGTTTAATAATCATGTATTTCTTCTACTTTTGATATTAGGGAGTCTTATTTTATTGTTGCAGATACACAGGAGTACTTTAAAGAAACTGATACCAGGTTGCAAGTTGATAAAGGAGATTCAGTAACATTAGACTGTTCCCTCAGTGGCAACATGTCATCTGCTGTGGTAAGCTACTTTAGTAATTTATGATGCACTGTCAGTATACATTAGATAATACTGTATTAGTTTTTGAAAGTAAGAGTTAAATAGAGTATTTAATGTGAATTTTGAATGTGTCATACTTCAAAAACATATACAGATACTCAAAGGTGGGCAGTTGTGGCGCAACTTGTGCTGCAACTTTTTCGGTTGCTCGTGCAGTTGCGTAACACATATTTCAAGAGAGTTGCGGCACAACTTTTACAAGCATTTTCAAGCGCAACGCGCAAAATTTTTCGACAATAATTGAAAATTGAAATACAACCGCATAAACAAACGGGCATCCCTAGAACCGCGCATTGTGAAAATTTCTGTTTTTGATGGAATGATTCAGCATACAAATGATACAGGTCGAGCAGCATATTTCTGAACTGTAAACCAAATGAGACCCTCACTGCCCTCCTCCCCCCCCCCCTCCCGCCTCCGTCGCTCCCTTACTCTCCTTCCCTCACTGTAGTTGCCAGATTTCATCTTTCACATTAACTCTAGTTTCCACAGCGAGGGAAGGGGAGGGAGGAATGATTCATATCATGACCAGTCAGGCAGTCAGTAGCACTGCAGTTAAGGCATCAGTTTCTTGTTGTTTTGTTTCTTGTTATTACTAATATTATGGATCATTTTGTGACGAGGAGGAAGGAGAAGGAGTCTGTGGCCGGCAGCAGTGATCCTGCTGACCAGGACATGAACACGGAAGTTGAAGTGACTGAGACTGTTGACAGCCAGTCCACTGAGACTGAGGCCAGTGGCAGTGAGGCATTTTTTTTTAATTTTGTAATAAAATATTGATTATATTAACTTTTTTGTATCAATTATATTTTGTTTTACTTGTAAATAGGCTATTTTTGTCCTCCTAATATTACTTATTAAGTAATTATTAGATGTTTTAATTGCCTGTATGTTGGCCCAGCGAGTTATTGCAAGGCATTAACATACCTAGGTTAAAGCTAAGCTTCGCATTCTGGGTCATATCACAAAAACTGGTGTTTTAGAAAAAAAACGGCTTTTTTTATTTTAATGTTTGTTTATTTATATTTTTTTAAAGTTGCAGTTGCGGCGAAACTTTTTGAAAATGGTTGCTTTTGCAGCGCAGCTATTTCAGCAGAGTTACGGTTGCGGCGCGAAAAAAAAAGTTGCGCGTGCCCACCTTTGCAGATACTGCATAGCATTATGGCAGTGTCATATTTTTCTTATTTTATGTGTCCTTAAAGTAGAATGTATTTTATTAGGGCATTGTTTTTCTGTTGTGAACTTTTAAGTAAATGTACTAGTCTCTAAACATGTGTATATTGACTATTTATTGGTACTGTTGTTATAATACAATATTCAAAATAACTAGTCGATAGCGAGGCTCTTACTAATGTATTAGTCCCATGATAAGAGCATTTTGAAGTCTTCATTAAAAGCTGCAACTTTGATAACGTACTGTCCCCAGTCGCCAGAGAGGCCTAATTCATAACATCATTTTACCAGCCATAGCATATCCTTCCAACTTTAGTAGCAATCATTGTTGGGGTGTAGCCCTAAAACTTATAAGAAAATCGAATTGGATTATATCCAGGTTTCTTCCTTTATATGCAATATAGGTCCTAATGTCCATTCTTTTGAAGGTTGAGTCAAAGAGGAACATCCCTATTAAACCTTGTTAGTTCAATTATAAAAGACATACATTTCCTTTCATATACTCTGTCAGGTTATTATAAACAATGATATAATGATGGGTAAGACTAACTGAGGGGTCAGTGGTGGGTAAAGGAGTGACAAATATATTTCCTGAAGACTAAAGTTAATTGTATTATGCTTTTGTTTCTAGCTAGGAGTGTAACAATATTAATATACAGTAGAACCTCGATAAATAGGACTAATTGAGACAGACTCCAGTCCAAAAAATGCGAAAGTACCCAAAAAGTGAATATATGGGAGAGAGGTGGCAATAACACTGCTTATCTGAACTGTTTAAGAGGATTGTGTGGCTTAGATCGATGTAAAATGAAAACAAAATCAAAATGTAAAAATTTTCCTGGGCATAGGTGGTGCCTAGGGCTGTATGTAGGTGGAGTTTTATAGTGATATTCTTAAAATTTATCCAGTTACATATGCTCCCCCTCCCCACACCTTCCCAATTCCCCTTGGGTAGACATTTAATAATAAATGTAATAATTTAATAATACATGTAAATTTTTGTCTTAGATCTTAGAAACTTTATCCAACAATATCTAATATCATCACAACCAAAGTCTTGTGCCCAGTATAGACTTAAAATACTTATATTTTACTTAGGTTTATTCTGAACTTTAATCTTATCATGGTGTAATCTGTCATATCAGACATTGTAGGTAATCAAAATGGACAACTTCGCTTTTAAAACTAAAGCTATCTTCATTTCCATTGTCAGATTATGAGGTCTAGAATATTATTACTGATATATGCAAATTTGATCCAGGAAATGTTGATAAAGAATGATTAATTGGTCAAGCTGTAATGTCAACTCTTATGTGCATATTATATCAGGTGATGATACAGATATGAAATTATTTAATTAATTTGCATTATTCCTTCAAAAGAGTAACATTAATTGCATTATTTCAGGTTAGTTGGTGGCATTACCCAGGACCTTCTCTCCTGACCCAAGGAAACATAAACCTAGCTAAGGCAGATGGCTACACTGTCAGTGTTTTGCAGAACTCTTATTTACTGACAATGACTAATGCCAGTCTTACACACTCTGGCTTGTATACCTGTCAGTTGGCTCTTAATGAAATAGAAATATACTGGAAAAACTTCACACTTTATGTTGAAGGTACTGTAATGAATTTAATATTCTTAGTCCCTCTTTATATACAGGTATCCCCCAATCTGCGGTCTCCCCATCTACAAAATTACGGTTTAACGATAGTGATGTATTTAGACCACCTCCCTATTTACAATGTAAATAATCCACCGTGAATGTTAGTGATGTCCTCTCACTGTAAGGTATATAAAAAAAAAAAAAAATTACATCGATACTGCCGATAATAATCATTGAGTTACACGATCGCGGCCATGAGCGATTATCATGGAACTTAGCTTGTTACTGTAGTGCACTGGTTAGCTGCTTGGCGGCACACATGTTTGTTGTTGTCAACATGCGCGCTACAACTTTCCACTCTTTCTTTTCTAATTTTATAGTTTTATATTTTATTTTATTTATTTATAAGTAACAATAGAGCATTGAAATTATATTTCCACAACTTTCATGGCTTCTTATGTAAATAAACACTGCAGCAGCCAGTGTTTGGCCACAAATTGTGAATATTTAATTGCACAATTTAAAAAAAGAGGTACAGTAGTAATAAAGGTATCCACGGATTTAAGAACTGTATAAACACACAATAAAATCACGTTTTTATGAAGTGGCTTAAGACTGAATTCAGTCCATAAAAAAGTATTTTCCATAAAACTAATATTAGTAGGTGTAGCCTTAGAACTACCGTAGTGAAATACAGTACAGAAAAATATGAATAACCTTAGAAAATTTAGCTCCTGTTGGCACGAGCCAACTGTTACTTAGTACATGATGAGAGCACATCAAGGTTCATAGATTACAATGGTGACAACAGGCATTAATAAATCTTCATTGCCTAGTTATTAGAATTGTTCTTGTATATCGTCCTGTTCACCCAGGTACAGATAAGGAGTTCATGGATCAATTCAGCTTGTTTCTTGAGACTTTCCTTAGGAAGGAATGGGCAACGGTTGATGTACTGTGACTTTAATTATTAAGTTGACAACCCATCTCTGAAACCTTTTTCCTCTGAGTTCTTGGAAATTCAAGATCGTAAAAAAATTTTCAATTGTTTGTTGTGTCCAACACATCTTTCTGGACACACACTAAGCCTAGTTTTGTCTCCTCTTGACTGTAATCATGTATTAGATGTTGCAGTTGACCTGATTGATCCAGCAGTTTATGACCATGCTTTGGTTACTTTTGATTTTTATGTCTCGAGACCCCCTTCTTATATTAAAACATTTACTTTCAGTAACTATAGAAACATTGACAAGACCATAATTGATCAGGAAGTTAATGATTCTTTGAACTGGATTGACTCCTCTGTTTTATTCTCTGATGAGATGGTTAAATAACTTAATGATGTCTTTCAGTTCATTTCAGACCGTTATTTTCTAGAAATCACAGAGAGAATTACAGTACGAAATGACTGTCCATGGTGTAACTCCTCTATAAATTCTCCTCGTAGGAATCGTAGAAGTACTGAGCAAGATTGGCGTAGGTGGAGAACAGACTGAACTAGATCAGAGTGTATGACTGTGCGTAGGGCTGTTGTTTGTTCAGTGAGGGCACGCAAAGTTGAATACTACAAAAGTCAAGTAGCCTCTTGTGGCAGTGGTCAGAAAACATTTTTATGCCGTTATGAATGTTTTTTTATGACAAAGATATCAAGAATAAGAAATGACCTTGATGGTGTCTCTTTAATTGTGGAATTTTCAGTTGAATTTCAAACAAGATATGCCAGAAACCTCACTCTTTCATTGTTTTGTCCTGTAGGTGTGAAAAATCATTCTGTGCCATATCAAGGACTCAAAGAAGTCTTTAGTCTTCTTGATCCTGTAAATATATCTAAAGTACCACTCACTTATGAATATGCTGCAGTCTTTATTTGTAGAATTATAAATAAATGCTGTGCAGAGGGCAATTTTGTGTGATCCAAGAAACAGGCTTTATTGTGTACTCATTTTAAGAAACCTGGTCTTGATACTGAAAATATGTCAAATTATCATCCGGCCTCCAGCCTCTCATTCTTATCAAAGATCATAGAGCATGCTATCATTTGCTATGCTGAATCAGTTACTTCCTGTGTTAGAGAGAAATGGATTGATCATCTGATCTAGTAAGCCTATAGGAAGCATCATTCAACTGAAACTGCCTATTGTAAAATTCCTAACAATTTGGTAATAAACACTTGTACAGGAAAGTCCTCCCTCCTGGTCTTGCTGGATCTCTCTGCAGCTTTCAACATGGTGGATCACATCTGAGGCTTCAGGATCTTCCGTTGTTTGGTGGTCCATGAGAGTGCATTCTCACTCCGTGAATCTTATTTGTCAAAGTGATCTCAATCTCAGTGGGTGATGGATGGTTGAACCATTTCAGACCTGGTACCTTAGCAGTTTTGAGTCCCACAGGGATCAGTTTTGGAGTCACTTCTGTTTACAGTCTATACCAGTAGTCTTCCATCTCTGCTGGATGTTCATGGTGTTGCCTACCATATATATGCAGATGATACACAGCTTTATGTGAAAATAATAAATTATTGAGGACAATGAGGTGGTAATGAAATCCTTGATGTCTGATATTAAGATTTGGATGGTTAGGAGAAAACTTAAGCTGAATGATGGCAACACTGAGATTATCGTCACACCTTAGGAAATAGGAGGTGTAGACAGCACAGATGATTTTGGTTCTTTAAATTTGGGGGAAGTACAGCTTAATCCTGTTGATTCTGTTTGTAATCTTGAATTTTACTATGAATTAAAACTGAATTTTAAAGACCATATAAATTCGGTAGTTAAGAGTTGTAACTTTCATAGTCAAAATCTATATGCCGTTAAACAATTTTGGGGTAGACAGTCTTGTGACACGTACATTTACTTATTTTGTCTCGGTGTTGACCATCTTAACACTTTATGGGTCTGCCTACCTAATTATGTACTGAAGAAATTTCAAACAATGTTAAAGAGGGTTGTCAGGCTTAATATTCCCCTTCCACCAAGGACTCCCACTACCCCATTCTTGATCGAATTACATTGGCTTTGAATTAAAGCTAAGATAGAGTTCAAACTGTCTAATGACTTTTAAAACACTAATATTGGTGAGCCTGAGTATTTGACCAACCTACTAATTCCACTGACCACACATTCTGTAATGATTTTGCCTAGTAGTGATGATCCTTTACACCGTGAGGAGCCTACAGCAATATGGGAATGTTCTTTTGCTGCCCGATCCTTTTCCTATACAGCACCCAGATTGTACAATTGGTTGCCTACATCCATGGAGGAGCTGACTTCTGTGGGGGCATTTTAGAAACAACTTAAGACCTTTCTTTATTGAAGGCTTATGACCCTGAACAGGGTATGGTGATGGAGAATTACAGGGTCAGGATTTAGGAAATATTAAAATTTAAGGGTATATGAATGATAGCAGTCAAACCGGCACATTTGTGATTTTCTTATTGTAGTACAGTATTTCTTTTAATTCCCAAATGCTTGATTTTGTAATGTTTGAGGTCTATTGAATTCGCTTTTGAGAAACAAGAGACCAGCTTTTATTATTATTAGTAGTAGTAGTAGTCATAGTAGTAATAGTAGTAGTAGTAGTCATAGTAGTAATAGTAGTAGTAGTAGTCATAGTAGTAATAGTAGTAGTAGTAGTCATAGTAGTAATAGTAGTAGTAGTAGTAGTAGTCGTAATAGTAATAGTAGTAGTAGTAGTAGTCATAATAGTAATAGTAGTAGTCATAGTAGTAATAGTAGAAGTCATAGTAGTAATAGTAGTAGTAGTAGTAGTCATAGTAGTAATAGTAGTAGTAGTAGTAATAGTAGTAGGAGTACATTCTGGAGCCAGTGTATGCCCAGTAATTACCAACAGTGCATAACAGAAATGACTGACAGCAGAATTGGCTAGAGTGCCAATTAGTGGTAAAGAAGATATAGTAAAGGTACTCAAGTGTGATACTGAAATACTGTGATTCAATTAAGATTTAATATAAACTCAGGTTATAAGTGAATTTAGTTTGACTTATTACAGTACTTATTAACTGATACAGTATATAATTCTCTATATCTTTACTTAGGCTTTCTGCTGATGGGTACTGCTAGGTATATGTGAAGTGATGGGTAAACCAGATAAATACAGTATATGAGGATATATTGTGGATGGAAAGTCACAGAACAGCTCACCTATTACAGCTGTAAGATGGAGTGATTGACAGTGAACAAAAGTATATTTTATACTTGACCCAAGCCACCAGGCATACAGTGGGAAATAACTTAGAATGAAAAGTCTAAATTTTACGGTACAGTACTCTTTTCTTGGTGGTAATTACCATTCCTATTCCAACCAATGTAAAAAATAATGGTATATAGTTAAGCAATAAATAGAGAATTATAGTTTTTATTGCTTTTAGCACAAGGATGTCAGTGAATAAGTTCTCTATATTTCTGCATGTCTTTGAAGGTACAGTAACTTGAGCTGTTTCTTAAGAAAGGGACAATGTTAGTGAAATTAAATGTATGTTGTTCATGGATAAGTAGGAATATTACTATAATCTGTATTCATGTACTTACCACTGTTCTTCATACTGTATTTTCTTTAGAAATATTTTAAATTAGTTTCTCGATTAAAGCTTTCTAACTTCAGTCCCATCAAAGATTGTCTTGAGTTAGGTTTTCATTTTACAGTATTTCTAAATTTTCTAGGATTGGTCTGGGTCCATCTTGGTGAAGCTGTCAGTGTTAGATGTTATTCACCATTTGGGGAAGCGGTAAGTTTTGATATTACTGTATCATATTACACACACACATTCGTAATATATATAGTATTTTTTTTTTAATACTTTGTGCCTTGTTTTAGCTCCCAGTAATATATGGATCTTAGTCTACCCTTTTTTTATCAGTCAATTGTCAGTCTTTAGAGAATCCTTATACTGTACATGAAACTCTTATCCCTACAAATGGACTTTCAATTAATTTTTCAAAACTTTGATTTAATGTTTGTCATCCGTGATCCCTAGTGTTCACCCATTTGGATACAAATTTTATTTCCAAGCTGCATTCCCAAAGAGTGTCAATTCTTCATTAAATGTGAAAAGAATAATTGGTATTAATATCTGACAGTAGGGGTAGAATAAAAAAAATTAAAGTAAGTATTTATGATATCTTAAGTCTATGTTATACAAATTAGCAAACACTATACTGTACAGGTGTACTCAAAAACCTATGCCCCGTCAACAGCCGCTTCACATGACTTACTATTACATATAGGGGAAACACCCCGCAAGTCTTGTTGATACCCCAGAGATGATGATCACCAGAGCTTTTTGTTCAAGCTGAATGCAACGTCAGCAAATGCTACCTAGGTATGTTAATTCCTAGCCAATTCGCCAGGCCACCATACAGGCAATAAAAAACATCTAATAATTACTTAATAAGTAATATTAGGAGGACACGTCGCTACCTGGTATTTAATTGGAATTCTCAAAGCCCCTCGTTCACCCCCACACTATGCGCATCACGAACCTCATCGCTTGCCTGGCGATTCAGCTACAATACACACAAAGGGAAGTTCCGCGAATTTGTGTTCTAATTGCTGAAATACTCACCTCCGCAAGGATATTATATACGGTATTTGTACTTAATAGCACAGTGATGAAGTAGAGTGACTTTTATTTTGTTATGTCTCTCATTTATTGTATTTGGAACATTTTCTTATACGACCTTGGGTCAGCATGGCGACCAAAACACATTTTCTTTGTGAGTTGTTTAGATCGTTGTGACTATCCCTTGCCTTTAAGTCACTCAGTGAATGTTGCTGCGCCCTCCCGGGCTCATCTTCACTAAAAGAGAATATGTGAATATATCTATTTATATATACATATATATTGTTTACGATCTCTTAGTCCCAATTATTCACGTGCTAATATGAATACCATGACTATCTCTCTCCCTACTCTATGTTCATTCACACAAACCTTTGGGCTTCCGCCCTTGGGTTTCTATTTGTTCTCAGCAAAAAGGCCAGAGTTGAGTTTGTCTCTTCATAACTTTATTTTTGATGTCCTCAGTAGCGGGTTCAGGCGAACTTTAGCGAGGCTGCTAGACTTAGCGTTCCTTCCGGAATGCTGACCTTCCGGTCTTCCTAGCAATCTAGAGTTATGTTGAAATGGACTTTACACCTTCTATGGGTTATATGAGACCAATTCAGGGTGGAATTCTCAACCCAATAAATATTGCTAGAGTAACAGTGAACGTTGCTGCCAATAGAGCGCTATGTTAGCGTCTCAGCACTGTCATCCCTGCCGGGTGATAGTGCGCACTTAGGAATTTTCCCTTAAAGTGTTTACTTGGGGGATAATGTCTGTGTCCCTGATTGGCAACAAATAAAGATCTTGATGATCCCTCTTAATAAATGTTCTGAATGAAATTATTTTATAAAAGAAATTTAAATAAATAAGTTTCATTGAGCTAAGGGATACTTGATATAATAGTCGGGAGACAGATACGAAATAGTGAGTTATTGCTTATATTTGTCATATGAGTGACTTGTATAACAATAAGAGACCTTAATGCATTAACTTACAAATAATATAACATTTAGGAGTCATATTGATTAATTTGGGAGAAAATGCTTTTCCCTTATTAATTATTATTATTGTTTTGTGTTATAATGATATAATGTGACTCATGGTATCCTCCTAGTTCAGATGAGTGATATGCAACTGGAGGATGAAGGTCAGGAGTCCGGGCCTATGGATAATGGAGGAGACTATGGAACTGTCCCTGAGGAGATACTATTGAGTGATGAGCTACAAGGACTAGAAAGTTCAGCTCAGGCACTACATTCAAGGAATTGTCTGTCAGTAGAGAATTTGAATTCAGTAGTAGTAGTTTCACCCAAGACCCAAGGGGGCCATACTACATGTAATTATAAAAAAATGTAAAGCGACTTGGATTACTAAGATAGATCCTCATGTGCCTTGCATAATTCATGGCAGCTGTGTCTCAAATAACCTATTTTCACCAATGGATTGTGCAGTTTGTTATAATCAAATTTTTCAATTTCATCAAGCTACAGGTGATAAGAAAGATTTATTGCAATTACAAATTAAAAATAGGTGGAATAAGGTCTTGAAGAGTAAGGTTTTGAAAGTACAACAATGGAAAGATCCCAAGTTGGCAGAAAGTTTAGGTTTATTGGTATTAGGTAAAAGACTTAGTCCCCACTTAGAGAAGACTGCTTTTGCTAAGAAAAATAAGTTATTGGACCCTCCAGACAGTGGGGCAGTAGGAAGTGTACAAAAACCTCTATCTACTCAATCTGATTTCAGTGGATTCCAGGATCAGGACGATGAGCCTGGTTCTAATCATAGTATCCAGTCTCTTGAGCAGGAAGAACCTGTTGAGACTGACTTCATCCTATCCTTCCACCTGGGACAAAAGTGTTGGTTACTGCGAGTGGAAACAGGCTGCTGTCGAGTGACACGCAGTTGCTGGATAATATTGAGTGTAAGGTTGATTCTAACAGGCCATGGATAACATTGGTAAGAGCTAAGTCTTCTTTGTTCACTAATCCATCTGAATCTGTGGATTCCTTATTCAAGATATTTTATGAAAATGTCTCTAAGCTTCCTGATATCTCAGCAACTACAAAGAGAGAGGAAGGACAAGCAACTTTGGGTCATCATTCTTTGTTTTTGGAGGGTGATACTACACTTTCTTGGCCTGATATATGCCCAAAGATGACTGAAATAGACGAAGTCTGGGCTGATTTATTGACAGACTTAACATTCATTCCCACAGACAGGAATGCTCACAAGTTTAGTTTTTTGAAGTTCCAATTTAATGACGAAAAGAGTTCCTTATATGATCTTTCCCAATATTTGTCAGCTTCAAAAAAAATGTTGGTTTAAGTTATGAAAAAAAATTGAAACCAGTTACCATGCACTGCTGGTTGAAGAATTTAAAATTAGGAAATTGGCAGCAGATGTTTGGTCTGCAATTATGATGTGTCAGTTATTAACTAAGTTTGTGCTGGACTATGAAGAAAATTCAGAAGTGGACAAATGTTTTGCTGCTGCTCTACAATGAATCCCATATTCCCTGTACAACTCATTTTTAGATCATTTGTTGAAAGCCCTAAGACTGAAAGTCCAGCTAAGGAAACAAGCAACAAATAATGCTTCAAGTGGCAGCGCTTATTTGTTGATACGTTCTTCTCCTCTTTCTCCTGCTTTGCTTGGTGAGCAATAATTGATTAATTATAGATCATCTTTGAGAATACTATTAATATTAATGTCCCCAGGAGTCCTCAGACCTTTCGGAAACCTAGGAGAGGAAGGTTTTACAGGGGAACAGGACCAGCTGCCCGGGTCAGTTATCAACCTAGGGAAAATTTTAGAGGAGGAAATAATCAAAGAAGTAATAGAGGTGACCGTTTGTTCAGAAACAGAAGGAGACCGTATTCCACCACCTCAGCAACTTCCCCCTTCCAATGAAGCCAGACAGCTGGGTCGTCTAGGGGGTTGGGAGAACAGATCGACTTCTTCCATATGGGCTTACAAGACAATCAAAGGGGGTCTCACTTGGACTTGGTTGAGGCGCCCTCCCCTAGCATTCCCAAAGACGGGTCAAACCATCCCCATTACTTACAAAATTTGTAAGTCAACTACTAAACAGAGGTGTCATAGAACCGTTGCAGTCAGAGAAATGTTTCATGTCTCGCCTATTCCCAGTCCCCAAGAAAGGCAACGACAAATTAAGGTGGATTTTGGATCTTTCAATCCTAAACAAATTTATTCCCAAAAGAAGTTTCAAGATGCTCACTTACGACAATCTGAGGCATCTAATTCGGCCCAATGCTTGTATCTCAAAAGTGGATCTCGAAGATTCCTATTATCACGTTCCTGTTGCTCCCAGGTACAGAAAATTTCTGGTGTTCAAAGTAGGGGAAATACGTTATCAATTCACAGTGATGCCATTCTGTCTGACAATTGCACCAAAAATCTTTACGAAACTGGCAAATATTCCCAGAAAGATCCTTGCAAAGGGGGGCATAAGAAACTTTCCTTATCTAGACGATTGGCTAATAATGGGAAACTCTTTCGAAAATTGTCAAAGGGCGACCCAACTTACACTACTGTAGTACTATTTCAAAACCTTGGTTTAAAGATAAACCAGGTAAAATCAAATTTAATACCATATCAAAAGTTGGATTGGTTAGGCCTCCACTGGGATACAAATCAACAGTCAGTCAGTTTACCAGGAACAAAAGTAACAGATTTGATAAACAAATTAGAAGCCTTTTGTGCAAAGCACAAGGTTTCTTGGCACGATTGGGAAAAACTTCTGGGTCTGTTGAATTTTGCCACAACAGTGGTTCCATTGGGAAGTTAAGGAAAAAGCAACTATCTCATCTGGGCTCAAAGTTGCTTCGCAGAAACAGCAAAGTTGCTTCTTCTCTCCCTATTCAGATAAAGAATCATCTGTTATGGTGGACAAACTGGGACAATCTAATCGGTCCCTCTCCTTGGGTTCCACCTCAAACAGGTTTGGACGTTTGTACGGATGCGTCCAAAATAGGATGGGGATACCATTCTTCAATAGGGGAATTCAATCAAGGAAAGTGGAGCAACTTCCTTTGGGACAAACACATAAATATAAAAGAATTAGCAGCGGTCCTCTTCTTTTTGTCGGCAAACCCAAATTTACAAAATATGACGATCCTGTTTGCCATGGACACCAAAACGGCAGTCTTTTGTCTCAATCA